CAATAAAAATGTCTTTTATAATAAAAAATGTAAAATCACGACGATCATTATTGACTACCTGTAATGTATATTAGAATAAAATATGCGGAAACGGTATTCTACGGGAGAATGCCACCGACGACCGGTAGGCTTCTCCTTTACCTGGTCTGCCCCCTTCCACCGTGAATTACTTTCTACCTACATGTTTGCCAGATAGCCAGCATGACAGTGATGACATAGATTATCAAGCGCAGCTTCAAACGTCGCTGCCAATGATAGGATGACATAGAAGCAGGCCGAGTCCATTGTGTATACAGAACCTTTCTTGTGTAGAAACGCTGTTGTAACATACTAACGTCAAAACAATGTGTAGTGGGTGGGCTTGGCTGTGTGACTAGGTCCTGGCCGAATTGTGTCTGCGCGTGCATGTTGGTGTGTCACAAACTTGTTTATACTGTCTGCCAAAGCAACGGGAAAACGCAGTTGTATGTTTGTTGTTTTTAAATGTGTCCCTACTAAAAGGTTTTAAGTACAAATGTATCTGTCGACATATGTCTCTGTCCATCTAAACGTCTGTTGTCTGTGTGTGTGTGTGTATGTGTGTGTGTGTGTGTATATATATATATATATATATATATATATATATATATATATATATATATATATATATATATTCTATAGCATTCTGAGCCCTTGAGGTTCATTGCTGCAGATATCACACGCCTTTTAATATGCCCCAACCATTTCAGTCTATTAGCTCTCATGATGCCAGTGATCAATGATGATTTAAACAGATTATGAATTTCATTGTTGCTTCTCACTTTCCGTTTCCCGCTGTTTGCATCTTTGATGGGTCTAAAGATTTGTCGTAAGACTCTGTTTTCCAAAACCTGTAAAAGGGCTTCATCCCTTTTAATTGCGCTCCAAGTTTCATTAAAAAAAAAAAAAAGTAAAACAGTAAAGGACCCTTTTCCACGCCTTTAGGCGTATAGGGCATATAGGGCTAGACCTATATTTTTAAAGACCAATCGGCACAAGATGGGTGATGTGGTCAGCATCACGCTAGCCGCCTCTACTTCCCGGGACTGCACCCGGTACCCACTCAAGACTGTGTCGACTGGCCTGGGAGTCAGGGTCATTTTAAAAAAAAGGTAGGCTCCGCCAGGGAGCGAACCCACGACTTTCCGATCCTCACCCGAGCGTCTATACGATAAGCCACGGCAACTCCCTTCCAAGTTTCAGAGTCGTGTAAAACGACTTGTCTTATCACATTTTTATATATTTTGATCTTGGTGTTGCGAGACAGAGACTTTGACTGTAGCAAATGTTAAAGGGCATAGTGTACTTTATTTCCAGATTGTATTCTAGATTGTATTTTTTCTCTCAGCATGTTGGAGTTGTTGAAGTTTGCACCCAAGTTCTTATATATGTTTCCGTTCATTTGATTTTCACACACACGCACACGTATATATTAACATTTATATATATATATATATATATATATATATATATATATATATATGTGTGTGTGTGTGTGTGTGTGTGTGTGTGTGTGTATCTGTGTATATATATATATATATATATATATATATATAAATATGCCACCGTGTTGTTGCGGTTAGATGCTGGTGTCTAGTATGCGATTATAACAGGAGCTTTTACAGATGAGACATGACTGAGCGGTTTCTTTACGTTCTACTTTTAACTCAAGCCTGAGTCCGAAGAATCTCAGCGCAGTGTACGAACTCCTTAGTACCAGCGAGGATCCTGAAATACTTTGGTTAGATTTTAAACTCCAAATCTTGCCTGGGTAGCGCCGTTAAGCTACTCTTTTCAATTTCCAGCTTCCAAGGGACTTTTTACGTACTCAACAATACACACGGGGGTCCGATCTTACTACTGGGATCAGGGGAAATTACTAGAAGTAGACGTAAAAAAAATCTTCAGTGCATCTTCCCCCCCCCCCTTTCCACTTCCCTCCCACCTAAAGCATTTTTTTCCTTGTTTGATTAGTAAGAAGCCTCGCCCCCCCCCCCTTTTGCGCTTTTCCCCCATTATGTGTAAAAGTTCTGTTTATAGATTTATTTTTTTTATTTATGATATTAAAATGTGTATATCTATTCAGCATATTTTTATTGATATTATTATTAAACACTTAAACAAGGCTTAGGGAGCTTGGGGCCCCAACCTCCACTAAAATATGAAAGGGGCTATACTCGCGTAAACCCGTTGTAAACTAATAAAGGTGGTAATATCTTGTTGTTCATCCGTTTCTATACTTCAGTCTTGTTCTAGAACTTGAGTTTTGAGTGCACATCCGTTTTAAATTATTTCTGCACAGACTGTTGGTTCTGGTCCCTCTCCTCTCAGGCAGATGAACTCCGACCTCGAATAAAACATCCCTAATTAGTCGCCTCCTATGACATGCTTGTTAAGGGGCTGTGGGTATATTCTGCTTTTCAAATCTAAAATGGGGCCCCGGAATCCACACAGAGACTAAACGGGACTGACACCCCTCCCTCCCCCCCCCCCCACACCACCCCACTTCCTCTCCCCTTGTCGTCTGTACCATGCGCAGGTACTCTCAGCCGGAACGGAACTACAAGGAGCCGCCAGAACCGGAAATGTCAAGCGGAAACCGGATTTTAATGTGAACTGATAGCCACATCTTGTGAAAGAAATGAAATTAGTGCGAGAAACTCCGCTAAGCGACGACAAAAACTACATAAATAAATAGACATTTCTTCTTTTTCTGACACTGTTTAACATCGTTGTCGTCATATGACAACAGTTACAGCTACGGGTGGGTTTCCTGAGAAGATGGTGCGAATCCGTTTTTCTTTTACAAAGCGGTCACCCATATGTTTCCATACACAAACAAAATAATATATGTCATTACAAGCATACTTCTAGCTGTGCTTATACGTGTTCCCGAGCAGTGGAGACACACATCGAAATGTGTTTTCACAACCATGGTAGACATGTAGAGCTTGCATAAATCGTAAGACACATGATAGCCTTGACATGAGGGAAAGACGACAGCTCGCAGATCTGCCAGACAGTAGGAAAGTGACAGTACACTGATCTATCAGACAGTATGAAATTTGACAGTACACTGATATGTCAGACAGTAGGAAAGTGACAGTACACTGATCTGCCAGCAAGTAGGAAAGTGACAGTACACTGATCTATCAGACTGTAGGAATTATGACAGTACTTTTACCTACTCAGTTAGGAAACCTGACGCACACTGACTCGCATAGAAAGTAGGAATTATAACAGTACTTTGACCTACTCAGTAGGAAAACTGACACACACTAACACGCCCAGACAGTAGGAATTATGACAGCAATTTGACCTACTCAGACAGTAGGAAACCTGACACAAACTGACCCGCCCAGAAAGTAGGAATTATGACAATACTTTGACCTACCCAGTAGAAAATCTGACACACACTGACCCGCCCAAACAGTTGGAATTATGACGGTACTTTGACCATCTGAGTAGGAAACCTGACACAAACTGACCCGCCCAGAAAGTAGGAATTATGACAATGCTTTGACCTACCCAGAAGGAAACCTGACACACACTAACACGGCCACACAGTTGGAATTATGACAGTACTTTGACCATCTGAGTAGGAAACCTGACACACACTGACCCGCCTAGCCAGTAGGAACTATGACTGCACTTTAACCTACCCAAACAGTCGGAAACACGACAGAACGCTGACCTGCCCATACAGTGGCAAGTGGTATTTACCCAGTCTCCTTCACTGAAGCTGGTGTAAAGGTTATTTAACCATACTTCCAGACATCCTGCCCTCATTTATAACCCCAGACTGCAGTAGTTGTCAGGCAGATCTCTGGTATAAACCATCCCCGCCCTGCCGACGAGGTTCCCCAACCAGGTCAGGATACAATCAAGCCTGGCCGAGCTACGACAGCCACCGGGTGTGTTACCTGCTCCTGGAGAACTAGAGCGGTAAGTGGTAGAAAAAAAAAAGAGAACAGCAGAATGGATCGGTGGCTCTTCACATAAAATCCTCTAGATCCACTCTTCCAAAAGGAGGAATTAAAAGACCGTAAATGCCACCCCTTCCCTTATCCCTCCACGTTCAGTAGACGGGATAGTCTGATATTCTTACAGTAAAACAAGTGATGGTTGGGAAGTCTCATTGAAGCTTGTATCTTCCCAGAGTTATCTAATAGCTTGTGTACCCGGTGACTTAGTGTACATTGATATGTACTCTTGCATGATCTAAAACACGCCCATTTATTACCCGTAGTTTAGAATGACAAACTGGTTTAATGAGTATTATAATTTTTTAAATGTGGAAAATAGGTCGAAGACTGGCAAAATGTCCTCCCCGTGTAGAAGGTGCGGGGAGAAAAGACCCACTGCACTTTGACAAGCATGTCGTAACAGAGACAAATTAAGAATTTGCTGAAAAAGGAGATGATGGGTTGAAAGGCGCGGACGTCACAACCTAGCTATAAACAACAACGTGCCAACGAAGAAGAAAAAGTAACATATTTTCAAACTGTACAATTGCTTTTATAAAAAATCAGTATATATAATTAAGACTTAAAACTTGAAACACAACATCTGGTCAGTTTTATGATCCCTTTAAATTTTATTTAAGTTTAAGCCCATTCTCACTAAAACCCTGATACAACAAACTACTTATGAGCTAATTCAGGAACATCTACTTTATGTTATATTAGTGAAAGGTACAGGAACACTTGTGTTGGACAAAGGAGAGGTCCTGAAAACCATTTATGAACGAATACTGACAGAAGACGCGAGGTTAGATGGAAAAACATTTGTAAGAGTATGTAAATGAGGGAGAGGTAGATCAGCCAAAGAGGAACGAGAGAGAGGAAGGCTATATTGCGGCCCCTGGCAAGAGCCAAAGTAGGGCTTCAAACAACTAAAAATTGCATCCCAGAAAGGGAATGACAAGGTTAACAAAACTATAACTATCTATAAATATGACCACGTTTTCTTCTCATCAACAGCTCTTGATAAACTGGGCACCAATCACGTGATGAATCTTGGCCTGCAAGTGGAGGTAGTACAACCCAACATTGTCTTTGACATCGCAAGTCTGATGTTGTATGGAGCACAGGCAACTCCCGTCCGCCTCAAGATATTGCTGGATCGTCTTTTCTCGGTCCTGCAGCATGACGAAGTTCTCCAGGTTCTCCATGGGTTTGGCTGGACATACGAAGATTACGCCAGAGGCTACATTCTCCAGGTTAGTTCCCAGTTCTGGGGTTGTTGGTTTTCTTCTTCTTCTTTTTCTTCTTCTTCTTCTTCTTCTTCTTCTTCTTCTTCTTCTTCTTCTTCTTCTTCTTCTTCTTTTGCCCTACTGCTTATGTCTTAAAGCGTCACAGAGAGAAGTTGTATGTAGTTTCCATTCTATTTTGTTGTTGTTGTTGTTGCTTAGCTTGTATTGATGTAATAATGTTTTTCAGTAGTGTCTCTTTACTCCTTCCACCCATGTCTTTCTTGGTCGGCCTCTTGCCTTGTAACCTGCTGTTCTCATGTTGCACGCTATAGCCGCTGGTTGATTTTGTTCACTTCTGACCAGCTGACTAAACTATTTCATTCTTTGTTGCTCTGCGACATCATTAACGGTACAGTGCTTACTATTGTTCTTGGTTCCTCATTGCTGACTGTCTCTTCTTGTTTTCCACACCGCATGTCTCATAACTCTCATCTCACATGTGGTAATGTTCCGTCTATGTTTTCCTTTCACTCGCCATGCCTGATATTGACAGCATAAAGCTGGTACAAATAGCGGATTTATCGGCTGATTTTTATGTGTGCTTGTTGATGCCTCAGAAGTAGCGCTGTTTGGTAATGTATGATATTGGCCTTATGTAATCTGTTTTTTATATTTCTCTATCTAATCTTCCATCGTCTGTGAATACGCTGCATAAGTACAGAAACTCCTTAGCTTGTTTTAATGTCTCTAATTCAACAGAGATGATATGTTAAACTGGTGTTCTGTTTACTGTAATTACTGTAATTATATATATATATTGATCGAATTAAATACACATAGATGCCTTAATAAATACTCTCCCGTATATTATATATATATATATATATATATATATATATATATATATATATATATATATATATATATATATCATTTCAAGTCTCTAGCTATAGATCACAGCATAGATATGAGAAGATGTTTGTATTGTTAGTGGTGCCGAAACGAATAAAAAACATTGGATATGTTGGAGGACGGCACGGTCCCTTACGCAATTTTAGGCCGAAGGTGGACGGTCAAGAGGCCTAATACTTGTTTAACTGTATAATTATAACATCAAAACATAATAATGTGCTGAATGGCAAACAAAAATACAGTGCAACATGCACACATAGGCACATATGGAAGAGGGGGGGGGGGCAGAGAAAGACGGACAGACAGACACATAAATGAGAAGTAATAGTCTGGAATGCTTAGTTCGTGTATTCCCACCCCCCCCCCCCCCGACCAGCTCTGCAACAGCACGATGTGTTTATGGTCGAGGTGGCCAGAAGAGTAGTAAACAGAACCGTATATTTTTCTCAACATTCGAAGAGGTAAAAGGAGAAAGAATATAGAAGAATTTTGCTTCACTAATAGTCAGTTGTAAAGTCCCAGTTACTGAAACCGTCATTAGTTGAATTTAGTAAATTTAGGGTTATGATATTTCCAGCCATCTTAAGGGTCTCTACTGGTAAATTATTTAATCTAACAGAAAAAAAAATGGCTACATAACTGAAAATTAAAATTATAGAAATGATAGAAACGACTCCCCGTGTGGATTCCAGGGCCCCATTGTGGGGGAGAACAAGAATAGACCCACTGCCTACCCAAAAGAATGTCGTAACTGGGAGCTTTCTTAGAAGTCGGAGTGAATCTGCTAGAGAGGCAAGGAATCAACAGTCTGCATTCAAAGGAATCAGATCTGTAAAAGTAATGCACACGCAACACTCAGGTTCTGGAGGAGGACTGCAGTTCAGAATTGGAAGAACAACCAGAACTTTCCGCCAGTTAACAGCTGGTGAACGAGAAGAAGAAGAAAAGAAACGATAACAGACAACAAAGATGATGTGACTGCCATAATGAATCGAACAACATTTGGTTTCGTGGAAGACCCACCTAAACGGATTCGTGGGGAAAGGGGCAGTCTGTTAGATCAGGTGACCACAACTATAATCAGTACTAGGAATTTGTCTGTCTATCTTCTTTATGTTGTTGTTGATACATAAGGCATTTATAAAAAAAAAATCTCCATTGTTGTTGGTCTGCTGCTTGTCTGCCTATAGCATTCCATGTCCTGTTATATTGCTTTATTTCCCTGTTTTGTTTCTTTCTCAGGGCTTCTTTAGGTTGTCTTCTTCATTTCCCATTCTGACGTCATTCTCCTGGTTTCCTTAGGTCGTTCACGTTTCCTTTTGTCTAACTGCCGCCCGTCGGACAGCTATCCTTGCTAAAGTGTCACAGACATTCTGCAAACATGCCCAAGTCATCTCCATCTGCTTCCTTTCATAACGTTTGCCAGTGAACTTTTTATTTTCCTCCAGAGTTCTTTATTAGTAATCTTGGCAGGCCACATTGTTCTGTTTAAACATTTATTTCGAAAAGCCTCTAGTTTTTTGTGATGTCGTTACCATGCATTCACTATTGTATATGGCATTTCTTAATTATTGCTCTTGCATAATCTGACATTTGCATGGGAAGTAAAATCGGCCGGTGTGATACTGACCAAACCATCTATCAAGCACCAACTGCACTGTTTAAAAGAATGAAAACAAAAAACACACTCGTCACGTTCAACCAGATACCCCAAAGAGAGAGCGTTAGGTTATAATTGTGACTAGGTTATGTGCGCCACAGAAAACGGTTTAGCATTGCACAAAGTACTCCTGCAGTGTTGATGCGATCAAAACAGACAGACCCAAACACTGTCTCGACCGGCGACGAAGTCGTCACCGGTTCGCCGATGTGTGAAACTGAAAAGAAACACCAAAAGTGTCGCCTAGAGTCAAACGGGGCCTGTACTAAATGTGTCTAATTTAGAACTACTTGCAAAACTAAAGGGCCCTTTTCCACCCTTTGGTCGTATTGGGCGTATAGAGCTAGACACATATTTTATAGACCAATCGACGATCGGTGGGTATGTGATCGACATCATAGCGGCCGCCTTTACTTCCCATGACTTTATCTGGAACCCAAGGCTAGATCGACCAGGCTGCCAAGGTCATTTTTTGAAAAAGTCCAGCTCCGCTAGGTTTCGAACCCACGACCTTCCGATCGATAGGAGAGCATCTAGCTGCTACACTACTGCGGCTTCTATAACTGACAGTGGCTTCCCCCAAAAGCACAGTGGGTAAATTCCAGATCTCGAGTCTATTTTCAGTTATAATTGACCCCTGCTTCCAGTTGAACCCATCCAAAAATTGTTACTAGGAAATGTTCTAGATAATGGTAGCTAGTGCTGTGTTGACCATGTCAGCAAAGAAGTGCCGACTGACCTATCAGCTAAAGAAAATATTGGTTAGTTCCACGATATTCTCCCCAGAGCCTGCCTCTATACACACTAGTTTACTTCTGTTTGGTAGTTCTTAATCCGCGCGGATTTGATCACTACCCACGGGGGTGTTCCGCAATGCCGTTGATATCGCATGTTGTATATTTCAGTACGCCAGCGCTTTTAACACTACAAAAACATTGACAAACTGGGTCCAACACACAACTCCCCTAGAGAGTGCTGCAACCTATGTCACAGGCATTTTCTTTCTCGGAAGAAAAACGTAAATGCAAGACAAGCCAGAAAGCAAACAACATAAAGTAGACCAGTGCAAAAAAGTTATAAATGGAACTTCACCTACTTTGTTTGGGGAGACTAATATCGAACTAAATAAAATGTTATAAAGGGAAAGAGGGGGAGCGGTTGTTAGGCTTCTTAACGCACCTTATGGACCCCTAGACAATAATGGCTGAGGCCCGGTGATAATCGCTCACAGAAATGAACTTTCTATTTATGTTAAGTCACTTGACATTCACTGATTACCATGGGTTTCTTATGCTCCTGGCCCCCCCGCGAACAAGTGTCCAGAGGAGCGATTCTGAGGGGCTAAACCCAGCACCCCTTTCCAGTCCCACTGATTTCTTCTTAACAGCGGCGCCATGTTTGATATCTCAAATTTGATCAAGTCGTGGCCAACATTGTTTGTTGAGGTGTGTAGGTGTAGAAGGCTTGACTAACGATGACATATTTGGTTTGGTGTGTCGGCCTGCTAGAACTCACCCTTTTGCATTGTTGTTCCCTTCATGGCAGCTCCGTCTGAAATGCCTGGCATGACTGGACCATGTCCTTTTGGTTGCATTTTGAGTATCTATCCACGAAAATTTATCTGTTTGTGGTGTCGTCTTTTCTGGTAGGAATTAACAGTTAATAATGCATCTGTACGTCGGTCGCATTTACAACTGTAAACAGCTGAGTTTACAAATGTCGGCCTCTATAGCTTTTTGATTATAAACGCAGCTGCAAAATTTCGAAATACCCGGTTCGGTTCAGATGCAGGCGATGTGGCAGCAGACTACTTTGATTTTAACAGTCCTATAAATGTCGACCGTAAAGAAGGCAATGGCAAATAACTGGGCGGGAACGTTTATAGTAAAACTATAGAAAGCCAACAAATGCTAGGGTTAGTTTGTGAGATCTGTACAGGGAAGGTAACTGACCTTAACGCATCAGTTGTCAAGTTTACTCAACGTGTGCCTTATCCAAAGCCAGCGTCTTTTCTTCACCTCTTGATTTATTGGAATTTGTGTAGTTCTTTTCCCGAAAGTGATCTTGTCATGCCATTTAATTCCTCTGTTCTGCGTAGACACCAGTTACTGAACGTTTGTAGTTTATTCGTAATTGCTTTAGCTGTTCTCTGTGTATAAGCTGCATACAGAAGTATTGGTTTGACAGTGGAGTTACATGTTCATAAAATATCTATTAACTGTAGATTTTATACCTACTAAACTGACTACTCGGAGATCGACTCGGGCTCATGAAAATTGATGTTGGGTCATTTTCCACGTTTTTTAATTGTCTAAAAATTGTCTGGGAATGGTCTAGTAAATGTTTATGAATTGTCTATGAATTGACTGGGCACTGATTAGGCCATTTTTAGAAATTATCTGAGATTTGTCTAGCAAATGTTTAGGAATTGTCTCGGAAGTGACTGGGAATTGTG